GCAAAGCTGTCATCAAGGCAAAGGGTGGCTACTTTGAAGAATCTCAAATACACTTTTTTGGTTACTACATGATTCCATATGTGTTATTTCATAGTTTTGATGTCTTCACTATTATTCTACAATGTAGAAAATAATAAAAATAAAGAAAAACCTTTGAATTAGTTGGTGTGTCCAAACCTTCGACTTGTACTGTACATCAGAGAAGACTGAAATACAGTATAGCAAAACTGTTTGACATAGAGACACCGGATTTTCGTTGTTTAAGAAAAAAACAAAAAACATTTAATTATGAGAAATATTAATAACATTCCACCCATGAGGCCAAAGAGGGCGCTTTTTGTCATTGACTGCAGGAAAGGGCTACAGCAAAAACGAAAGTAGAGTGGTTGGTTGGGGTGGATGGGTAGGCTTATATAACGTGAACGACTAGCAACCCGAATCTCATCACGGACAACTTTAGCATTTTAACTAATTAGCAACTTTTCAACTACTTACTACTTTTTAGCTACTATGCAACTACTTAGCATGGTAGCTAACCCTTCCACTAACACAGGGTTTCCCAAACTCGGTTCACAGAGATACCGTGAAGAGATCCTGAGTCCCATTGTCGTGCCATTCATTCGCCACCGTCATCTCATGTTTCATCATGACAATGCAGGGACCCATATAGCTAGGATCTGTGCAGTAGGTGTCCAAACCTTTGACTGGTACTGTATATATTACCTCAATTACCTCGAATAACCTGTGCACCCGCACATTGACTCTGTACCGGTACCCCTTGTATATAGCCTTGTTACTGTTATTTTATTGTTGCTTTTTAATTATTTGTTATTTTTCTATTTTTTTCTTTTTTTCTTTTCTTTTTTTACTTTTTTAGTAAATACATTCTTAACACTTAATTTTCTTAAAACTGCATTGCTGGTTAAGGGTTTGTAAGTAAAGTAAGCATTTCACTGTAAGGTCTACACCTGTTTTATTCGGCGGATGTGACAAATAAAATTTGATTTGATTTGAGATACTGTAAACCCGCTCAAACTTTTCAGCTTGTTGGCCGTCAAATTTGCACTGATAAACAATGGGGAATTGTAGCTTCTTTGTCCTTCTGCAGCTTGCCTGCCAATGCATGCTTGTCCCTACCAACCATCCAAGCTAACTGGCTAAAGTTGGCTAGCTTGCTAGCTAGCTACTTTCAGACACAAATGAGAAAACACCTCACTCTGACCATTTTACTCACCATTGTAAAGCTGGTTAGGCTGTTTACATGTTATCTAGAGCATTCTTGACTAACTATTACTTTTTTTGCCTACTTTTACTGACACCGGTCATATTCAGCGGGTGTTGTGTGTTTGTAAATTCATCAGTTGTTTTGCACTCTGAGACTCATACGAGAGTGCTCTGAAATCGTAGTAGATAGCCAGAGTGAATTTGCGAACGCAAGAGATATGCTAACTGTATAACAGTCATTCAAGTTCTTGCTAGCTAACCAAATTACACCTGCATCTCTAGCTGTGTATAGCCAACAAAAAACGATATGAGGGGAAAAAGTCAGTCACTCACCCACTCCTCCAATGGCATGACATGACATCCTTCTATCAGCTAGCTATATAGGTAACATTAGGCTATATGTTTTTAGCTTGCTACATAAATATGTTATGACTGACTTGTGATCATTGCCCTTGCTAGTTTGATTGTATTGACATTCCCAGCCTTAGTTACATTAGTCAGTTTCTGTCCAGAATATTGAGTAATTGAAACTGAAACAGTGCATCCCGAATGGAGGCAGCAAACAATGTACCAGGCCAGCTGTGATTTACATCCTGATAGCAATACAGTGGGGGAAAAAAGTATTTAGTCAGCCACCAATTGTGCATGTTCTCCCACTTAAAAAGATGAGAGAGGCCTGTAATTTTCATCATAGGTACACGTCAACTATGACAGACAAATTGAAGACAAAAAATCCAGAAAATCACATTGTAGGATTTTGAATGAATTTATTTGCGAATTATGGTGGAAAATAAGTATTTGGTCACCTACAAACAAGCAAGATTTCTGAACTTCTTCTTTAAGAGGCTCCTCTGTCCTCCACTCGTTACCTATATTAATGGCACCTGTTTGAACTTGTTATCAGTATAAAAGACACCTGTCCACAACCTCAAACAGTCACACTCCAAACTCCACTATGGCCAAGACCAAAGAGCTGTCAAAGGACACCAGAAACAAAATTGTAGACCTGCACCAGGCTGGGAAGACTGGATCTGCAATAGGTAAGCAGCTTGGTTTGAAGAAATCAACTGTGGGAGCAATTATTAGGAAATGGAAGACATACAGACCACTGATAATCTCCTTCGATCTGGGGCTCCACGCAAGATCTCACCCCGTGGGGTCAAAATGATCACAAGAACGGTGAGCAAAAATCCCAGAACCACACGGGGGGACCTAGTGAATGACCTGCAGAGAGCTGGGACCAAAGTAACAAAGCCTACCATCAGTAACACACTACGCCACCAGGGACTCAAATCCTGTAGTGCCAGACGTGTCCCCCTGCTTAAGCCAGTACATGTCCAGGCCCGTCTGAAGTTTGCTAGAGTGCATTTGGATGATCCAGAAGAGGATTGGGAGAATGTCATATGGTCAGATGAAACCAAAATAGAACTTTTTGGTAAAAACTCAACTCGTCGTGTTTGGAGGACAAAGAATGCTGAGTTGCATCCAAAGAACACCATACCTACTGTGAAGCATGGGGGTGGAAACATCATGCTTTGGGGCTGTTTTTCTGCAAAGGGATCAGGACGACTGATCCGTGTAAAGGAAAGAATGAATGGGGCCACGTATCGTGAGATTTTGAGTGAAAACCTCCTTCCATCAGCAAGGGCATTGAAGATGAAACGTGGCTGGGTCTTTCAGCATGACAATAATCCCAAACACACCGCCCGGGCAACGAAGGAGTGGCTTCGTATGAAGCATTTCAAGGTCCTGGAGTGGCCTAGCCAGTCTCCAGATCTCAACCCCATAGAAAATCTTTGGAGGGAGTTGAAAGTCTGTGTTGCCCAGCGACAGCCCCAAAACATCACTGCTCTAGAGGAGATCTGCATGGAGGAATGGGCCACAATACCAGCAACAGTGTGTGAAAACCTTGTGAAGACTTACAGAAAACGTTTGACCTGTGTCATTGCCAACAAAGGGTATATAACAAAGTATTGAGAAACTTTTGTTATTGACCAAATACTTATTTTCCACCATAATTTGCAAATAAATTCATTAAAAATCCTACAATGTGATTTTCTGGATATTTTTTCTCTCATTTTGTCTGTCATAGTTGACGTGTACCTATGATGAAAATTACAGGCCTCTCTCATCTTTTAAGTGGGAGAACTTGCACAACTGGTGGCTGACTAAATACTTTTTTCCCCACTGTATATTTTCGACTACCAAGAAATGTATTGGTGAATTATATTAATCATGCAGTTAACTGCATCCATCTATTCTGCCATTAATGCCTTCATGTACGTCATGGAACGTTGAGTCATATAGAAACTATTAAAAAATATATATATATATTTTTGACTGAAATTATGATTGTCTGTTTGTTTCATATCTGCAAAGTAGTTAAAACGCTGTCAGTTCCACTTTAAACTTTAAGTCACTGGTTACTTTGTGTGCTAAACGTGCAATGGGAAGTAATAGTTGTACATTTCGATTGGGAAATGCTTAATGGTTGTGTTTTTGTATTCTTATGATTTGGACCTTTTGGCTTAATATGTTCGAGTTTATGGACTGCTTATCCTTTAACATCATGCTGTGTGTGACTGCTGTCTTTCCATCGGCCCTATGCGGTGGTGTAGTGGTGCCTGGAGAAGTAGGTATACTCTAATTTTGCCAGAAACTTCCCAAATGGCCCACTCAGCGAAGGAAAGGCACCCTGTTTGAAAAATCCTTTTTTATTAGTTTTCCTATAGATTTTTCAGATTTTCACTCTCAAAATCACTTTTCTTTTTGTGTGAAAAAAATACAAAAATGTGATGGGTCTTAAACCATCACAATGCTTAAACAATGCTAAAATCACTTCAAATCTGTCAGGGCCTGCCTCCCCAGTGGGTGGGCCTCTGTCCACCCAGGCCCATCCATATCTACGCCCCTGATGCAAACAGCTCATGATGACAATTGCGCATCACAAATAGCTCACTAACCAACACTTTAGACTAAACTTTTTCAATACCTGGTTTGCATACCCATTGATGCCTTAGTTAGCATTTACTGGTAGATATCATCAATTGAAATGCCTTTCCTACCCTACCAGCTACCGATGTCATTCTTCTGTGAGCTGCTCCATGCCAAAACCAGGTAAGAGGTGCACACATTTGCTGCCTGCAGATTATATTCCGTTGAAACTAGGCTATGTGTGCGATACGCATCAGTAGGGATTAAGAAGTGAGTATAAGCAATGCCCACTGAATAAAAGTGGGAATACGGTTTATGCCCTCCACTACACCACTGGCCCTTTGTGTTTTACAAAAAGTACACACTCCTACATGAGTGCGCTGGTATTACGGTTGCTGTCGTTTCAGAATCACGAACCTGTCACACACTGAAGGCCTATAGGTTCGCCACTGCTCAAACATGTCTATAATAGATATAAAGGCTGTTAAGATATTAATGTTTCAAGAAAGTAGTGTATATATTTGGCCTGCCGAAGCGCTTTTATGCGCTGACTGAATGGAAGCTGATAATTAAAATTGTTTTACTCCGCTGGTCTCGGCTGACCTCGGGAAGAAATGGTGAGTCCTCACTGTCCGAGAACCGAGTTAATACAGAATACAAATGTGTCCAACACCGAGACAAGACCGAGACACTCAATATGTGGTCTCGAGACTGTACTACAACACTGCAAATCACCTATGTTGCAGAGCAAGAATAGTAGCTGAAAGCTCCTGAATTGCAGCTCCTGCGTGCTGTAATCGACATTCACTCTATTAAAGATTAGTTATTTAAATTACAGTACCTGGGTAGATGCTTCCTTTCAGTGATTTCCACACTCGGTACTGCAGGGGCCCTGCGAACCGGCCCTCACACAGACTGGGAGCCGTGAGAGTAGGCTTCTCAAACTTCGGAGACGGCCTGCCAAAGACAACACAAGCTTTAGACAAGACATATCAGAAACAGGAAAACCCCATTATGGAATAACATGTTGAAAGCTAAAACAACCCACGTCCCGCCACGCTCTCACCTCTGGAGCAGGATCTTGATATTCTGGGACACGACAGGAAAAACAGAGGGGAGAGAGTGATCATTAGTTTTGGCAGTGGTTAAAAAGAGGAAAAGCAGTTTTCCATATGACATCAATGTCTGAGCTGACGTTATCCCTCCATCTGGGATCTCCCCATAGTTGGGGGAAAGTCCCTGGGTCTGAGCCTGTCCCTATAATCTCCTTATCCTCACCATCGACCAGGAGTGAGGTCATGGGCGCACATTCTGCCTGTGCTCCACCCTAAAGGGTTCCTCCCTGCACTCTGGGGTCCATTGCTTACAGCGATGTCTAGAATAGATACTTACTGCATTATTATAGCAGATGTAAATGTCCAGAGGTGTGCAAGCTAGATTTGTCCTCCCATCCATATTTTTTTCAAACAGCACATGCAAAAAAAATACATCTGACCTAAACTTGTTCAGTGTAATCGTTCAAGAATTCTCCAGTAGGTAAACAGTAGCCCTGTCCTGTCTCTCACCCGCAGCAGTGTAAAGGGGTCCTGCTCCTTCAGCTTGTCCTCGATCTCGTTCAGGGCCCTCTGCAGACGGCAGACCTCCACACAGAGCAGGGCTTTGTGTTCGTCCAGCCTGATCAGCTCCCTGCGCTCCACTGTCTTCAGCTTCACCTGCAGCAGCTTCTCCTCCTGGTAAAGGAACTGGTGCAGGTCACTGAACTGGGCCTCGATGCGTTGCTTCAGGTCCGCCGTGTGCTCCTAGTTTGAGAAGATCAAGGTTTAAGTGCGATGTATAGATTGTTACCAGGTGTAGATATGAGATACTATAGTTTTTCTTACCTTGAGCTTGTTGACCTCTTCTTCAGTCTCTCTCTCACACTGCAGGGCCATGTTCAACTCCCCTTTCAGAGAGTCCATGGAGCTGTTGAGAGACGCCTGCATAGCCAGAACAAAGCAGCAGCATTACTGTAAGTCGTCATCAGCCTTCTGTTCTCTACAGTACACCAGAGCTCATACACAGTAAATACAGTAATCTGCCCTGGGAATGAGGCTGGCAAAAACAATGTTACAGGAAAAGAGCCGGATGCAACTTCAAGCCAGACGAAGAGGGGAAGATAATGAGCGGTTTGTCGTACAGAAATAAAGTGACACCTGAAGTGGTGTGACAAATCATTGACATTTTAGTTGTTGATGCCAAGTCACTTCAAGTTTTTCTGTGCCATATTTAATCCCCAAAATGTTTTGCTTCAATTCCTCCCACGCATAATACTGCTGCTCCATTCATGGCCCCTCAATGTTTTTTCCTGTCCTCAATTTCTCCTGCGTCTGTGACCCTTTGGCTTATTGTATTTTTTTGCCCTGAGCTAAGCTTTTTACAAGCATTCTTTGGGAAATTTAACAGTGTAAAAAGGCAAAACAAGTCAATTAAAATGTGGACTTACCCTGTATCTCTGCTGTGCCTCCTGGACACACACCATGGTGTGGTTCCTGTGCTCCTGAGAGAGTCCACACACCAGACATACCAGCTCCTGGTCGTCCTCACAGTAGAGCTTCAGCTCCTCTCGGTGCCGCCCACAGCGTGGGGCAGGAGCAGGGGCAGGGGTCCTCTCTGTTACCCCCACGTCCCCCAGCAGCCCCCCGCTCTCCTCCAGGCCCTGGCAGTAGCTTTCCACTATGTTGGCCACGATGCGGTTGGGCCGGTAGCTCTGGCCAGGGAACACCTTTCTGCACTGGGGACAGGATCCAGACCCCCCCTGGACCTGGCCTCTGGGGCCCGCCCAGTAGCCAGCTATGCATACCTGGCAGAAGGTATGGTCGCAGGGCAGGGAGACAGGCTGCTTGAAGAGGTCCAGGCAGATAGAACAGGTCAGGTCTCGGCTGAGTCGCTGTGCTGAGCTCTTGGATACTTGCCCAGCCATAGTAGACGGCCTCTGCTTTTCCTTTGTAGTTTGCTCTGAAAGCTCCCCCTCCCTGTATTTAAAACTTTTCTTATCTGATTTCTCCACCTCAACGTTGTGTTGAGACGTTAACTGGAGTTTCTCCACCTCTCTGTGATTCTTACTCCTTATGTTCATTCCTTTTGTCAGACTTCTCTTTTCTTTGTGCTGGATTTGCAGCTGTTGAGACGTCCTCCTTCTCCTGAGTGTTTGGCTCCTCTCTCTCTGGTCTCTGGTCTGACTTGGCTCAGTCTTCCTGTTGACTGTGGGAAAGGAAGGGGCTGGTGAGGAGGCGGCCTCTGTCTCTTGTTCCGTCCCAAAAAGGCAGGGGTGATTTGTGGGCCCCCTTCTAAACTCCCCCTCTGACGTCAGAAAAACAGTCAGAAGTTAGGGCGGTGTGTGTGTGGGTGTGTGTGTGTTTGTGTTTAGGCCTACATTATGTGCAAAATGTGAGTCAAAACAGATGTGCCCTATTTTCTCTTTAGCTGGTTGAAAAAATAATAATCAAAACACCAATTACCGCAAATGGTTATTGACATGGCTATGACAATGCCAAGATAATAGGGCTGGGTAACTTCCTGGAGAATGCAGCTACAGCCAACTCCTGCACAATGAGATTGTAGAGTATGAAAAATGTATGCACTCACTAACTGTAAGTCGCTCTGGATAAGAGCGTCTGCAAAATGACTGAAATGAAATGAAATGAAATGTAGAGAAAACAGCCATCACTATTCACAGAAAATCGTTTAAGTTTCCAATAGTGTGTGACGTTATTAGTCTAGTTCAAAGCAATAATGTTCAATTACAGTACCAGTACAGTGTCAGCCTGCGCTAGCTACTTTCTATTAAAGGCCCAATGCAGCCGTTTATACTGTATATCAATATAAAATCATTTCTGGGTAACAATTAAGTACCTTACTGTAATAGAAAATGGGCAAAAATGGCTTTTTTAGCAAAAAACTATTTCTCAAGCAAGAATTTTGCTAGGATTGTTTGGGAGTGGTCCAAGTGGGGAGCGAAATCAGAAAACTAGCTGTTATTGACAAAGAGGTTGGAAACTCTTAACCAATTTACCGCATGGTGATGTCACGATGGAAAGCCAAAACTCCTGCCCATGCAAACCAGCAGATTAGAAGGTCCTGTGTAGATTGTATTTTCAACAAGCAACTATCAGGAAATAACACTGATCAAATTATTTCACACTTTTTCAGTGTTAGTTTCATCAGCTGTTGTACAATATGATATAAAACACAGGAAAAACACAATTTTGACAGCACTGGGCCTTTAAATTTACTCCACTGTAGACAAACATCTTGTTAAACACTATGGGTTGATTTCATACTTTGAGCATGCTCTTTTTTATTTCTACTACCTTAAGCACAGCATGCATGAGTCATACTTCTCCCTTCATTGTTCACGGCTCTAATACATTCTGTTCTGAATGTGTATCTACCTTAGACTCAGGTTATGCTATTATGCAGGTTATGAGCACAATATGCAACCATTTCTCCAAGACGCTTGACAGGGTACGTATTTACTCTGCTATTGGTGTCTAGTGTTCCAAACAACAAGAATAATTAGCCTACTACTTGATAAACTGAGTGTCTGACTCTTAGCCCTTAAACTGTCAGTTATTGTCACATTGCGTGTTTATACTGGTCTCTCTGTGGGTGACATATAATAATGTAATAACAATGTGGAGCCTGACCATACAGACTAGTGAGTACTTGCATACCAGGTCACTGCAGTTAAAGAAGCACAAATATGTCAGTAACCTTAGGAGACAGTGTAGCCCGTTTTGGACAGTTTTAACACAGTTTACTCTGTTATAGATCCTTTACTGTCGATGACACTGGAATGTCCTCCCAGGAGAAAAGCAAGAGCTCAGGTAAGCAGTACATTCATGCAAGTTATTATCCTACTTTGCGGAGGCATGCAGCCATCTGATAGGCTTTGTGGTTGAGGACTCCACTGCTGATCCCTCTGTTGCCGAGGAGAACCAGGAGGAGATAGCATGTCCGGCGCACGGCCACACCCCGGCTGGGCCTCTGTTTGGTGCGCAGGTCCATGGACCTCTCCCTAGGGGTGACCATGTTGTCCCTCACCAGAGCACAGCGCAACCCCCCAGGCTCACTCAATGGGTCTGGATGGCCTCTCTCTCCCTGGCCAGCAGCCTCCTAATCTCACGCCGGGTCAGATGTTCCAGTGATCCCCTGGGGTGGCCGCAATCACCCTGTGGGTACGGACGTTCACCAATGCACAGTCTGCACACTGGCCCTCAAACATCACCATGTCCACATAGTGCTGCAAGCTGGGCAATGCCATTCCTGGAGAGGGGGTTGTGGGATGTGTCCTTGAAAATACATGTTTATTTTAGCCTAGTAGGCACTCTGCAGAATGGTGATAAAGTATGGAGGTAATTGATTATCTACCAATTATGGGTCCATATTGGGAATTCCCCAAAAATGACTTACCTTGTTGGTGGGGATGTTAATGAAATCGTGCCACTGTGTCAACTGAAGTGTCTCAGCCTTCTGTGATGTCACAAATATTTGTAAGTCGCTCTGGATAAGAGCGTCTGCTAAATGACGTAAACGTAAACAAAGGATAACTTAGGGTGCGTTCGTAAATTCCCTCTGGCTATGTGCTCCGATTTCAGAGCACTCTCGTCTGTGTGCCAGAGCGCAGAATAATGTTGATATGACCGGTGTCAGTAAACTTCGGCAAAAAAAACGTTATTAAATTGTTGCCAGCAGCACAGTTAGTCAAGAACGCTGTAGATTTACATTTACATCATTTAGCAGACGCTCTTATCCAGAGCGACTTACAAATTGGTGCATTCAACTTATGATAGCCAGTGGGACAACCACTTTTTAAAAAATGTTTATGGGGGAGTGGGGGAAGAAGGATTACTTTTATACTATTCCAGGTATTCCTTAAAGAGGTAGGGTTTCAAGTGTCTCCGGAAGGTGGTCAGTGACTCCGCTGTCCTGGCGTCGTGGGGGAGCTTGTTCCACCATTGGGGTGCTAGAGCAGCGAATAGCTTTGACTGGGCTGAGCGGGAACTGTGCTTCCGTAGAGGTAGGGGAGCTAGCAGGCCAGAGGTGGATGAACGTAGTGCCCTCGTTTGGGTGTAGGGTCTGATCAGAGCCTGAAGGTAAAGAGGTGCCGTTCCCCTCACAGCTCCGTAGGCAAGCACCATGGTCTTGTAGTAGATGTGAGCCTCAACTGGAAGCCAGTGGAGTGTGCGGAGGAGCGGGGTGACATGAGAGAACTTGGGAAGGTTGAACACCAGACGGCTGCAGCGTTCTGGATAAGTTGTAGGGGTTTAATGGCACAGGCAGGGAACCCAGCCAACAGCGAGTTGTAGTAAGATAACATGAAAACAGCCTAACCAGTTCTGCTAGGGCGAGTATAATTGTCAGTGTGAGGTGGTCTCTTATTTGTATCTGGAAGTAACTAGCAAGCTAGCCAACTTTAGCCAGTTTGCTTGGGTGCTTGACTGACGTTGTGAGGTCCAAAGGCTCGGATCAACCCTACTCCTTGGCCAGAGCGTCCAGTTTGTGCTCTGAACGCTTCGAGAGCGAAACGCTCTGAATTTACAAAAACAGACAATTTGACAATGCTCTGAATTTACGAACACCCAGAGCACACTCTGAGCGCACTGTGGCACTCAAGAGTGAATTTACGAACACACCCTCCATTCCTTTTGTTGCACATAGCCTACCACTGAATCACAAACAGAATACAGACATCTAGTGGCCAAAATGTGCCAATGCCCGTCAACTTGTAGTGCACAGGAAGTAGATTGAATGTTATTACACATGGAAATACTAAACTGGGGTGGAGAGAATAAGAAAATAAATCAATCGTCATTAAATTCAATCCAGAACTTGTTTATGTTTGATTCAATTCCTAATTTCTGATCAACCCAAGTCTAACAAAATGTTAGTTTTTAACAAAATACCTGACTATTGCTGAAAACTAAATTATCCAGTCCCATACAATTATGAATTGTAACCAACACAAGACCTCTTACACATCACTGTACGTTCTATCAGTTAGCAGGATGGCCATCCTTAACTGTAGGTCCACAGACTGGTACATGGTTGTCTATAAGGCCATCTTAGGGCAGCTGCCAATATATTTAAGCACTTTACTCACCCTACAGCGTCATGGACATTACCATCTGAGGACACAGGACAGTATTTTTATATAATGTTCCCAACACAAGAACTGAGTTTGGTAAGAGCCTTTAGCTTTGCTGCCCCATCATCTTGGAACACTTCTCAAAAGGACATAAAACTAGATCATTTTATTCTGATTGATGATTTAAAATCCCAGATTGGATGGCTGTTGACCACAGATTGCACATGTTTTTAAACCTTTTAAGTTATCTGATGCACTTTGCACTGTTTTAACTTGCATTCATTGTTATGTTTTATGTTGTGTTGTGTCTCATGTGTAACTTTATGTATGCTGCTTTCTTGGCCAGGGCTCACTTGAAAAATACATTTAAATCTCAATGTGACTTCTCTGGTTAAATAAAGGTTAAATACATGAAATAAAAAACTATTCTTACAACAAATACCTCACATCATGCCAAAAAAAGTTAAGTGTTCTTATTTGTGCAACACGACTGCTTTGTATACAGTCTGGAACGCGGCCTACATGTAATTGCTTCGCAGCAAAGCAGGAGGGCATAACATTGGGAGGGCTTCTTGCGCATATTTCGACTTGTAGCAGCAGCTAGCATCAGCTGACCCTAAATACTGCTTTCCAGATCAGAAAGAAAACACAAAGAAAAGCTAAATGTTTGAGGCACGACTGACCCAAGGTCTAATCCTAAAGAAAGTTTTGGACGCTTTGAAAGACCTTATCACTGAAGCTTGCTGGGATGTGAGCTCCTCGGGTATCTCCCTCCAGAGTATGGACTCATCACGTTTCCCCTCGTGCACCTCAACCTGCGAAGCAATGGATTCGACTGGTATTGCTGTGATCGCACGCTCGCTATGGGAGTCAACCTAACCAGGTGTGTGAACAAAGTGTGTATTCATTTTCATGTCATTCATTGATAACACTGTTGAGTTGACCTAAAATTAACACTTGCTGGCTTACTTGCAGCATGTCCAAGATTT